TATACTTGGGAAGACTTTCATGAAAAATGAGGTGAAGAAGTCAAAGAATTCATAGACAATAACTGAGACTATCTTTGTAATGAGAATAATACAGCTTACTCTGCTTACTTACATGCAATAAACTAAAAATTAAATAAAATGTTTTAATACTCTCATAGTAGACATTTTGTGTTTTCCTGTTCAGCATTCATTACCCCTTCTTTCGGTAAAATGATGCAGTAATTTTCTTCTGGGAAGTTACTCCCTCCCCTAGTCCCAAGCAGTCACTGGGTAGCACTGGTCCCCCAGCTCTAAGAGAGGACCCAGATTGGGTTAAGCTGGTCAACATATTCCATCTCTATGGTCTTAGCGATGGGTTCATTAATGGACTCCTCATCAGAAGCCAGGGAGGTATGAGGAGATGTTTGCTGGACTTCTGGGAGAGAAAAGCTTCTCCCTAATAATGGAGCTACTAGAAGAGACTCTCACCTCAGGATCTGGTGTCTACAAATGTGAAGTTGGGACTGCTACGGCCATTCTGCTACCTGGTTGGGAATCAGTCTGAAGAAGTAGCTTAACATCTGAGGAAGAAGATCTGGGAACTAGGTCCTGGTGACATTATTTGAACTTTGAATAATGTCATGACTATCCCTGGACTCACCACTGGTCTTTTCAGTTTCCCTTTTAAATGAAACCAGTTTGCCTTGAATTTTTCTTCGCTTGCAGCGTAAAGAATCTTCACTGACAAAAGTAGAAAGCTCTTGTTCCTCCCCAGTAGGGAACTTAGGATGGCCTGTAACTAGCACGGTTGGTCTTGTTTGTCTGGACTCTGAACCCTCCTGCATTCTTCTGTGTTGCAGGGTTTCTCTCATCCCATGTGGTTTGTTTTGAGATTCTGCTTCTTTGTGTTCCTTTTTTTGTTGTTTTTTGGTGGATGGAGGTAATTAGGTTTATTTGTTTATTTATTTTTAATAGAGGTAGTGGGGACTGAACCCAGGACCTCCTGCATGCTAACCATGAACTCTACCACTGAGCTACACCTTCCCCCTTTGTGTTCCTTTTTGATATGTCCTAGTTTTTGCTTATGTACTAATTCAAATTTCAGTTTTTATATACTGAGACTTTATTTATTGGTTTATGTATGGCAGGAAATTGTTTCATATGTTTACTGGTTTTCCCCTCCCAGAAATTCCTATTACCTCAAGACCCTTCCTTCATTCATAAACTCATAAAATCATTTAGAGTTTATACCTCAGGAAAAAGATGTTAGAGGGAAAAATGAAAGTTAAATATTCAACTTTTTTGTTTCAAAAGCCTTGGTATGTGAAAATATATAATTTATTAGAGCCAGTTTTTGTGTGTAGTGATGGTGATAAAGACTTTACAAACTTAGAAGACAACATATGTAAGGATGTTCATTGTACCATTGTTTGCAATAGGAAAAATTGAAAACATCCATCAAAAATGAAATAAATAAGGGGGAGGGTATAGCTCAAGTGACAGAGTGCTTGCTTAGCATGCACAAGGTCCTGGGTTCAATCCCTAGTCCCTCCTCTAAAAATAAATAGACCTAGTTACCTCCTCCGACCAAAATAAAATAAGTAAATAATACAATAATAAACTTAAAAAAACATAAAGCTAAAAAAAATAGAATAGATAAGAAAATGTGGTATATTCATTATGACTGTGACAGCAGTTAGAAGGAATGTCCTTTTAGGAATAGTGTGTCAGACATCGTTTGACCGATCAACCACTCCTAACCCCTTTCTTCATTTGCCATCTTCTCTGTAGAGGATAAAAAAAGCTCAGCACTCCCTTTCCTCAACTCCACTGCACCTGAGTCTTGGAATAATAAAGATCAGTGAAATAGAAATAGAAGTTTGTTGGGGGATTCTGGAGACAAAGGTAGCTGGCACTGCCTTTTCCCTCAGCGTATAACCGTGAAGGAAATGCCAAGAGAAATACGGAGATTCTGGTCCTGACATTACCAAGCCATGGAAAAAAATACCAACTGCTATTTACTTCTGGAGTATTTTTTACGTGAGAAAAGAAATCCGTGTTTGTTTATGTTACACTTGGTTGAATTTTATACTATTCTCAGCCAGAAGCATTCCTAACTGGTACACTGTGTCAATATGGACACATCTCAAAAAAAGTTAGAAGATATAAAATGAAAAATGTTAAATGAAAACATTGATATGGCCATAGTATACTGTTTATACAAATTTAAACACTTTTTTTTTTGTCTTTCAGTCAAGGAAGTCTTTATTCAAAATAACACCATGGGAAAAGATACCACAGGTCAGACTCTGTTCTGAGGAAAATAAAACAATACTATCTTTTGCTGGTAAGGAGACTTAAGGGTTGGTATTAAATCTCCATATATGGTAATGTGTACTTTTTTATATATATAGTTATTGAAGTATAGTCACCTTACAATGTTGTGTCAATTTCTGGTGTATAGCACAATGCTTCAGCCATACATGTACATACATATATTCATTTTCATAGTCTTTTTCACCATAAGTTACTACAAGACATTGAATATAGTTCCTTGTGCTATATATTATTATATTTATATTATTAAAGTAATATAATTTGGATAGTATATAGAAAATATAAAGTAATTTAATGTGTCTAAAATCTAAAAAGTGTACTGGGAGAATACCAATATATCATGGTAGTGATGGCCTTTGCAGAGAGGAGATGTAATGGGACTCTGGGTTGCATCATGAGAGATAAAGGTACATCAAATTCATCTGTGATATTTTATTTCTTTTATTTAAAATAGAGCAAAAAAGTATGACAAAAATGTTAACAATCTGCAATCCTTGGTAGTGAGGACACAGGTGTTCATTTTATTATTTTCTATATTTTTCTGTATTAAAAGAAAAGTTCTCAAGGAGAAGGAGTAAATGATTCTACTATCTGTTTGAGGAGGAGAACTAAAGGAGAAGCTAAAAAGCTTAGATACCGTGTGTCCGAGAGACCATTATCCTGTGCCTGGCCCTCTCTGCAAGCTAAGCCTGGAGGTGGTCCATTGAATTCCTCCAGATTGTTTGATATCAGATGCAACAGGGAGTATGCCTCATTTTCTTGGGAAGGCAGTCACCAGCCTCTAAGCCTTATTCCTAGCACGTTGAGGCATCAGGAGGGTAGAAATGGCTGCTTTGGGGATTTGGAAAGATGCATCCACAGGATCCAGAGTGCCATGAGAAACAGCAGAAAAAGCAATCTCAGCAGATGCCAGAGCAAACGAATAATGACTTATGACCAGTAACCCTTTTTACCACTCAAAGTTCTAAGTATGGGAGACCCTATATGGAATGGAATCAGCCCATCTGAATAATTTGAAGGAACATCTCATTTTTTAAGATTATTTTTTCATTAACTTGGGGAAGTGGGGTTATTAAATATAAATTTCTTAATTATAAAAAATAAGTTTACGTTTCTTGCCAACCTGAGTTTGTACACTCCCTACATTTGGATGTCTTTGATTTCCTTCAGGACATTTTTTTGCAAAATATTAGGAAAGTCTGTGTGATGTGCTCTATAGATTCTTGTTTTCTTTTACCTT